ATTGATTTGGTGAGGAAAATTGAAGGTGGTTTCAAGTGTTATGGTTACAGTATCAGAAAGAAAAGGAAGAGGAAGAACCTAGCAAAAAGGAAAAAGAAAAAAAAAAAAAAAAAAGAAAAGGAAATTTTTTAAGGTGTTTTCTTGCCATGTCATTATTTTTGCCATGATGTACATCCTAAATGTTAAAATAATTTTACATATCATCTTTGTCACGTCAAATAATGGAACACGTAGAAGGATTTTTAATGGAAAGGCCAAATTAAGGTTAAAATAGTAAACAGTAGAATCAAATCTGAGATTTTTGAGTTGAGGGACTAAATCGAAGATCTATACAATAGTTGAGGGACCAAAATAGGATTTAACCAAATAATTTTAACGACAAAACTACAACTTCTTCAAAAGCCTAAACGTTAGTTAGTGGAATTAATATTTTTAAAATTATTTTGAAAGGACATATTTTTAAAATTATTAAAATAGACTTCCCCCGCGTTTAGGGAGATCCCTCCGGTCAACTCACTTGCCACATTTTCCCCGCGTTTGCAGCTAACGCCACATTCCCTCGTCTGGGCAAACTCCAGAGGACACCTGACTCTGGACCCAACAAACAGCAAAATCTATTTTAATCCCCCTTCGCGTCATCTGCACGCTCTTAGTAGCTCGTCTTTTCAATGTCTCTTGCAACCAGCACGCCCGACTAAATCGCGTGAGTCCAACACTCCCCTACCCCGCTGTGTACTATCGAATCGCGGCTCATTTTGTGCACCCACACGCTTTCCTCCCCTCGTTGCTCCCACGAACGCACGGTTCACCGTACACCTGTAAGATGAGGATATAGAAAGGAGGGTAAAAAAGGCAGAGGATATTTTAGAGAGAGAAAGAGCGTTCGAAGAGAGAGAAACTGAAAGAAGATCTGAAATCGAAGAACAAGGTAACGAGCTCAAAATTCTGGAAAATTTTCTTTCTCTGTGTGTATAGATTGTTAGATGTACTTGTGTGGGTGTGTTTCTGGTTCAGATTAGAATTGGGTTAGAGTAGATCGAAGGGATTTTCTGGGTTCTTGTAAAGTGAGAAATTTCGGGGTGAAGATTGTGGAAACCCTAATTTGAGTTGACTTCAGGGGGTGAATTTTGTGGGGGGAGGATAGGGTTTTTGTTGAGAGAGTTAAATCCTTGCTTTGATTGATTTCAGGAGTGGAAAATTAGGGTTTTGGGTGAGTTAGCAAAACCCTAGTTTTTGTGTGGGATAATTGATGTGTGTATGGCTTCAGAGACAGTAGTTGGCGAGGGAAATGATGGAGTCAGAGAGAAGCAGAGGTACATGGAGAGTAAGGTGTACACAAGGAAGGCATTCAAGGGTCCCAAGAATAACAGCAGTATAAGCAAAAATGGCAGCAGTATCAACAAAAATGGCAGCAGTATCAACAACGATAGCAACAACAATATTGTGGGTAATCCAGTAGACAATGCTTCTGTCTCTGTGACGGCAGTACCAGCAGATGAGGAGAATGAAAAGAATAATGTAAATGATCCAGTTCAGGCAACTCTTCAAGCTTTGCCTTCAGAAGATGCTAATTCTACACAACAACAGCTTCTTTCTCATGTATATATTGCTGCCTCCAATGACTTTTCAAGCCTTAATAGACAGCAGAGTGTTGCAGGGAATGGCGTGGTGAAGCCCAGTGTAGAGAACCGAGTAAAGATGAATTTGGGGTCAACTCCGAAGCAGGAAATTCTTGAGCTGAGAAGGAAGCTGGAGAGAGAGCTTGATATGGTTAGAAGACTGGTTAAGAGGATTGAGGAGAAAGAGGGACAGGTTAGTGGGGCCAGTAATTCACGCCTCTTACTGAATGATGGTGTTGATACTGGATTGAGGAGGGTTCAATCTGAGGTTGCTTCAATTGGGCCTCCTCGAGAGCCTCTTCGGCAGCCCAGGCCTTTGAACCAACTTAATATTTCAGTTCTGGAGAATGGTCAGGGCTTGATTGAAAATGTGGAGAAGGAGAAGAGGACGCCCAAAGCCAATCAGTTCTATAGAAATTCAGAATTTTTGCTCGCCAAAGATAAATTTCCACCAGCTGATAGTAACAAGAAGTCAAAAGTGAATGGAAAGAAGCAAGGAGCAGGTGATTTGACACATGGGTTTGGTATGGGTAGCAAGATCTTTAAGAGTTGTAGTGCTTTGCTTGAAAGGTTGATGAAGCACAAGCATGGTTGGGTGTTCAATGCTCCTGTTGATGTACAGGGTCTGGGTTTGCATGATTACTATAGCATTATTAAGCAGCCAATGGATTTGGGTACAATTAAGTCAAGGCTCAACAAGAACTGGTATAAATCACCAAGAGAGTTTGCAGAGGATGTGAGACTTACATTTTGCAATGCTATGACGTATAATCCAAAGGGCCAAGATGTTCATATAATGGCTGAGCAGTTGTCAAAGATATTTGAGGAAAAATGGGTGAATATAGAGGCAGATTATAACCGTGAAAGGTTTAATGCTGAAAATGAGATAGGTCTTCCTCTGTTCACACCAAGAAGGGCACCCTCAATGCTTCCAGCTCCTCTTGATATGAGAAGGATCTTGGATAGATCAGAGTCAATGACTCATCCTGTTGATTTTAGAACCAAATCCTTCTCTAGTACTCCCTCAGGTAGAACCCCTACTCCCAAGAAGCCAAAGGCAAAGGATCCTCATAAGAGGGACATGACTTATGAGGAGAAGCAGAAGCTTAGCGATAACCTTCAGAATTTGCCGTCAGAGAAGCTGGATAACATAGTGCAGATTATTAAGAAAAGGAATTCAGCTCTCTTCCAACATGATGATGAAATTGAGGTGGACATTGACCGTGTTGATACTGAGACTCTATGGGAGCTTGATAGGTTTGTTACTAATTACAAAAAGAGTTTGAGCAAAAACAAGAGAAAAGCAGAGCTTGCTATTCAAGCCAGAGGCGCTGAGCAAGTTGTACCAGAAAAGGTAAAATCTTAGTCATGATCTATTTTCTCTGATCCTCTTCTGGACTTGAGTTTAGTTGCTAATACATTTTTACTTATCCTTTTACCTGCAGACCCCGGCCCCTGTTGTGGTGGTAGGAGTGCCCAAAGAGAATAAAACAGGTAAGTTTTCAATTCTTGTGACTGATGTTTAGTTTCTGGATACTTGATTGGGTTGCTAACTTGGAATTTACATGCTGTTGCCACCAGATGAAAGGAATATATCTGCTTCAATACCTGTTAATGTGGATGAACAAGGGGATAATGCAAGTAGGTCAAGTAGCTCAAGCAGCTCTAGCAGTGATTCAGGATCTTCTTCTAGCGGTAATACAATTTGTTTTAAACTCCTTTAGCTTCCTTTTCTTCTTCCTGTTCTGCATCTTACATATGTACTTCTTGCAGACTCTGATAGTGAAAGTTCCTCTGCATCTGGATCTGATGTTGGGCATTAACCAAGGTCTTGATCATATCCATTCAGGTAGGACAGGTATTGCTCTTTATATCTGCAGTTCTTTTTTGTTGTATATAAATTATTTATAACATATGTGCTTTGAGTTCAGTGGATGGCATTCAATGATGATATATGATACCAATGTTTGTAGATGCTCTTGTAGTGGACTGCCTGTGGGGAAGTTCGGTGATATTAAAATATTGTTTTCATATTTGTTACAATTTATACTTTTGGCTTTTTTTATCTGCTTCCATGTGCACTTCTACTTCTGTAGCAAAAAAGAGTTATGAATGGTTCTTGGTGATTCTTATTTTTCCTTTTGGATTCAATTTTGAACAACAATAAACGTGGCAATAGATGTAATATATTTTCTTTCTGATGTATGTTTGTTTAATACGGTGACTTTTGGTTGCTTCCTTTCTCATTTCTACTCTTGAAAGTTTCATAATTGTTTTGGGTTGTCATGAATTACCATTTTAAATAGAATGGAAACAATGTTTTTGAAATTAATGAGTTCTTACATTTGCTTATCATGCCAGTTAAGGTGCTTTGTGTTCACTGTTATTTTGATATTGATTTTTATATTTTGCAATTATTATCTCCTCTTGATTTTGTGATGGACTTAAGAGGTGGGAATATTAGGATAAAGCCACTTTTTATATTTTTCTGCAAAATTTTTGAATGTGCTGTTGCCTGTTTTCATCGGAAAATCTGGAATCTCCCTCTCTTTTTTTTTTTTTTTTTTTTTTTTGCTTCCTTTG